GGTGTACTAAATATACATCTTCCATCTTGAGGGGGAGTATTAGGATTTAAGTTTACCAATGTATATTAACTTAATTCAGTTGTATTGTGTAACTTGGGTAACTGCTTGTACAGTGGTCTATATATACTGCCACTTTGACATTAATAAAAATAAGCAAGTTTTATTTACTCTCATGATTTCAATAAAACTAATGTGAGAATAACTTGAATGGTGTAGATTAAATTGAATTACAAGTCTTATTAAATTCAAAACCAATCATTCTAGAATAGCCTTTGGCTAATGACCCAGTATTATACTCTCGAACAATACCATAAAAATTTATTTGCAATCAATAACATTTCTATCCGTGGTATAAGGAGCTAAAGATCATACGTCTACAGAAATTATTCAAACAAGCTGGTATATTGTGGCTAGTAATTTTATATTGTCCCGTGCAACAAAAGATTTAGAGGGATGGCCACATTGAATATGGTTTCTAATAAAAGCTAACAACTCATTAGTTATGGAAATATTTTTTATACGAAAATTTTTAAATTATAATAATAATAAGGGTAAAATACACTTTTTGTCCGGTAGGTGTCTATTTGGTCCCTAAATTTCAAAAAGTGACAGTTTGATCCATGACTTTAGAAAATAGTTCTAGATGGTCTCTGATGTCCCTGAGATTATTTGACTGTTAGTTGAGTAATGAAAAAATGATGTGAGTTGGCCAATTTTAAATAAGGTGGCAATATTAAATAACTTTATATTTATTTTTATCCATTTTTTTCCTTTTTTTTCTCTCTCTCCCCCTCTCTCTCTCATCCCTTCTTTTCCTCTCTTCCTACCGTAGTTTAGTTGTTCCTCCCCTTCTTCTTCTCCAATTCTCTTCCCTCCCTCCTCTTCCCTTCTCTGTCATTTTCTTCATGTAAAAGTAAAAAGAAGCAGCCAAAAAATAAAGTCCTAAATGTGCATTTCTAATTCAACGACAACTCCTTTTAATATAATTTCTAATCAGATCTTCAAATTTAACCATACAAATTTATGTTCTTAATCACAACTTTCAACAACCTTTTCCTTCAATTTCTTTCACACAAATTTTCTCATCATCCAAACAGAAAATCCACCAAAGAAATATCAGACAATCAATCTCAAGAAACGAACATAAATCTAAGTAAAAAGGAAGTATCTTAATTTTAATTTGCGTGCCCTCAGCAGCGAAATTAGTGACGACCGCCAAAAGTCCCAAAAGATGAACCACAGTTCACACCAACAAAAGCCTTCCTTCCCATCTTTACCACTGCCAACGGCCTCCGACAACTTTCTGGGAGAAAGAATCGGTTAGATTGGATGGAACTTCAAGGTTAAGGTCGAAATTTGGATGAGTGAGGAAACTGGAGAAGAAGAATGGGAGGAACAACAAAACTTGGAGAAGAAGACGAGAGGAAGAGAGAAAAGTGAAGGGATGAGCGGAGGGGAAGAGAAAAAAAAAAGTTTAAAATGGATAAAAATAATATAAAATTATTTAATATTACCACTTCATTTAAAATTTGTCGACTAATTTATAACACATCATTTTTCTATTAGTCAACTAACGGTCAAATAACGATAATTTAGAATTATTTTCTAAAAGTCAGATATTAAATTGTCACTTTTTGAAACTTAGGGACCAAATAAACACTTATCTCCGGAGATAAAAGTGTATTTCATCCTAATAATAAATATATGAATTGATGTTATTCTTAATCATTTAAAATTTTCAGTTTTATATTTGATGTATAAAAAATCTCAATTAAGTCAATTTTTTTTAATTTGTTGAAATTTGTTAACAAAAAGTTGATGAATAATTAAATCTCGGTTTGATCATTATTTTATTTTTATTTTATGTTTTTAAAAATTAAACTTATAAATATCATTTTTATCCTTGCATTCAATTTGTTATATAGCTTTTTTAAACATTTTTAAAATCTAGTTAATAAATTTGACTAAAAATTTAAATATATTTTCAAGATACGGGAAAATTTTGACTAATGAAATTGTACAAAAACAAGCATAATTTTTACAAAACATAAAATTAAAAACAAAATAGAATGGTTATCAAATTATGCCTAAATCATTATTTTTAGTAACATATTTGAATATGTTACTCAAACACTACTCGACGAAACTCAACTCGTTTATTAACAAAATCCAACAAACTCATTTAGCAAAATTCATTTATTCAAATTAACTCATCTAAGTGACATATTCAACTTAATAACGCATAAACTTTCTATTAATAAATTTCAAAACAAATTTCTTCATGATAACTCTGATTGAGAATTTAAAAAAACCAATGGCCAAATTGAGAAAACCCTAAAAGTTCTAAAGATTTTTGGGAACATTTTGTAAATCAAAATCTATTATTTTCTTTTTGTTCCGACCAAATTAGCACACAAATTGGCCGTTCGTTTCTTTGCCGGGAGGCGAAGCTGTCCTGTCAACAGCCGCGAGAGAGAGGGCTCTCTCTCCCCTTTTTGTTCTCTAGCTCATTCTTCCCTCTCGAAGCCCCACCCCCCATTTTTTCCCATTGCTTTTACTTCAAGATTATATATATTCTCCCTCTCGCTCATCTCCATTATCTTCTTCCTTCGGATCAATTCCTCTTTGACATGCGCAAGTAATCAGGTACATATGTATTGGTTACATTTTGTTGTTTTTTTTTTTCCTATTCCAGAATTGAGGGTTTATGCGAGCGGTGGATCCTGGTGAGCAGGCGTGTAGAACAATTTTATGGTTAATTTGTGCGAAAAATATCCACCTGTTATGAAATTTGAAGTAATAATTTTATGTGGGTTGATTTGACCTGACCCCTTTTGCAGTGCGTGCGCATGCATTTGTGTAAATTGCTGCCGCTTGCAGTTACTAAGCAGCCGTGAAGATCATTTCATCTGTTCTTTTTATTTTTCCAATGGTAGTGGATTAATAAGAAAAAAGGGATTCATGGATTAATTCATGGTGTATGTATAATTTTAACCCTTTAAAAACAGTGATAAAATGGTGGATATGAAATAGAGATGAGGATACTGACTCATTATTTAGAAAACTGGTGGTGTGGCCGTTTGGATCTCTCTTTCCCTCTGGAGAACACGGTTGTTAAAATGGCTGCTTGAACTGTAATTTGGGTGTGGGCGCAATAGCTATTAGTATTATGAGGCTGCCTCAGTAGAGCTTGCATAACCATGGTGTTAACAATTTTCTTATATTTATCAGGTTTAGTTAGCGCACAGCTTGGAAAATGGCTCAAGAGTTTCCTGATAAGGAACATCTGCTCACTCGTATCCAACAATTGGAACATGGTATGTTGTCTCTCATTTATAATGTCCATGCCTTCATGGTTTCCAAATTTGTGAAATGTCGCTTCAGTATATTATTTTGAAAGTCGTTAGTACTCTTGTTTCTTAGTTGCACTTGAAGAAATGGTGCTGGGGAAAACAGAAACAGATAGAATTATGTTTATGGTAAAAGACTCTGATTGTTAAGTATGAAAGCTATTGGATAATCACTAAAAGTTTCAAAGAGAGTATACAGAGAGAAGCATTGGACTGAGCCACAGTTCAAACCCTGTGCGCCTTTAAAAGTGCTCTTATTTCTCTCAAATTGAAAATTTCAGATACTATTCCAGATATTAGCAAAGAATCATTTCCTGCTAATGAAATCACCCTCCATTACAAAAATGAGGGTGGATAAGCCCCTCCTCTACCATACTCGATAGCCCCTGCTAGGAGTCAAACAAACACCTAGATCTCAAGGAGTTCGTCCTAGATTTTTGTAGTAAAGTGACATCTCCATAGAATAAGATCTAGGTTTTCCGAGACCCACTTACATAAAACACACCACTAGGAGCTTGAAACCGAAGACGGGGAAATCTGTAGTGTTAATTTTCTCCCAAAGAAACCTCCCAAGAAAAGACTAATATTCTTATGGATTTCTAGACGAAGAGGTGGGTTAATCAA